GTTCTACATACTTGCTAAGGGTTATTAAAGCTAATAACATCTGGCTAGAATTTGAACTTTTACAGTAAAAGCTGAACGATTAGTAAAATTAGACAATCAGTTTCAGATTTTTAAGACGTTTGCTGTGTTTCTCATGTTCTTTTCATTTTGTCATCATACTCGTCTGAGTGCAGATTGATGGGAAATGTCAATTCCATTTATTTCACAAATCATAAAAATACAGTTTGTCATTTCTCTACATACATACATATACACATTAGCACCCAATGTAACATGAGTAGCATATATCTTTTAACAACTATCAATGACTAATTTGATGTAGTGTTTTATAAAAGTGTGTATAAGGAACAAACTCAGCTAAATTTGAATAATTTTATGTGGATATGAGAAAACAGGTGTTGTTAAGCAGATATCACTTTAGGAAAGAGGTCTTCGCCTTTTTCTGCAAAACTCGCAAAGAAGTCAAGCTGTAGCACAAATCCAACTCTTTTTGGACAACAACAGTATCCTAAAATTGGAATGGACTAACCCTTAAATTATAATACTCGACTAGGCTACTTATGATTATGGAAAAGCCCTATCCATCTTACATCAGGGCTCTGCTGAGAACCTTGGAGGAGGACTGAGGTCAAACGTGACTCATATGTTGAAGTCACCCAACTTACAGTGACTCATCCTTACACCTCTTCTCCGTGCCAAACCCAAACCCACTGCTTGGCACAATGCCAAACTTTACTCTCCTCATTTTCTATATTTTATCCACTTTATTTTTAATTAAACTGATAAACAGGGGCATTATTACCAGTTTCCCCTCCTTCATGAACAGCAGCATGCACACCTTCCCATTTCATCATGTTTAGTTTAGTATGCTCCCTTTTTTTTCACAGTAACTACTCCTGTTTTGATATGAAACTACTTTATCCCTTCTCTCAAATAGTATTGAAGTGAGCTGAATGGCTTGTATGATACTCATATAGCCGTGGCTGTGACAAAGGGTTTCACTCTAATGAAGATTGTGTCAGCTTCTTGATTAGGGTTTTAACAGTGAGGATTATGTCTTGTTCTTCTTATTCTGACCACTAATACAGTTAATAACCGGCTTATCAAGCTCACAAGGGATCTCACTGATGTCTTTTGCAGCTGTGTGTGTGCGTGTGTGTCTGAGTGTTTATTGTTCCTTCGTTTCCACTACACATGATTCTCCTCTCCCTCCCCGTATGTCTCTCTCCTGCTGTGCTGTTCTGTTGGCCTTTTTTTCTCTCTCCTGTATTGTGTTTCTGTATTTCAACTCCCCCCTAGGGTAGAGATGGGTCATCAGGTTGCCATGACAAAAGCTTTGATTGTTGCCCAGGTTGAGTGGACGGCATCAGAGAAATGAGTTTTTCTGAGAAATGTCAATAATTTCAAAGGAAGTAAATTGCAAAATACAGGAGTCCTAAGTGGACGGAGAATCAGAGTGAAAAAGCTTTTCTGTTAGTTTTCAGGTCATATCCTGCTGAATGCTTAGTGAACACAACAAACAGAAACAGGTAAAAAAAAAAAGTATAGTACATGCAAATCCACTTTTTATAGCTCTTTGCACAACTGGAGTAGTAAGTTGAAGCACTTACAGATCTGTGCAACTTTCTTGTGTTTTTATCTAGATTTTATTCTATGCCAGCACTTCCTATACTGGTGAACAAAACACTATGTTGTAGTAACAGCAAATGTGAATGCCCATGAGATAGACAGTATTTGATTTTTGGTTCCATAATTCTATATGTAACCATACAGAATTACAGTACTATTTATTAGACTGACATCCAGTGTTTATGCCACAGCTAAACTAAAATAACAATATTGATTATTATAATAAAAATAATGTGTCTATGTCTCTGTAATGGCTAATCAACCAGTGTGTGTACACTCTTTACAAGTGAGCAAAATTTTATTTTATTATGCTGGGTTTTTTTTTTATTATTTTCCGATTAGGATGACAAATTGTAGTTATTTTTGCAGTTATCATTCCTGAACAGAACATTTATTTTTAGCCAGTGAATGTTTTGCTCTAATAATTTCTGACTTTTCAGACAAGTCCATTGTGCTTGCTCAAATTTGGGTATATCAAAATGTAATTTTAGTTAAAAAAAAAAAAAACCTGACAGATTTTTTAAAATACTTGTGTTTTCTTATTTTTATGATAAGTGGTCTAATAAATTTGTTAAGCAAATGTTGTTTTCATAAGCCACAAGCTAAAAAGCCTGGGAATCAGGACCTTGTGAGACTATAATGTATTTTCAGCTCATATCTGGAGTGTTGAAAACTTTACTAATCAACATTTATACTGCAAATGAAATGTAAGATGAGAAAAAATACAAGTTATATATAATTAACCAAAATGCAGACAGAGACAGAATGTTAGGCTAAAACTGGGTTTTATTATACGAGCTGATTTCACAAAAACTAAAAGGTGTATAAGCTAAACTCACAATTTAAAAAAAAAAGTGTTGTAAACAAACTAAAGCTAAACTTAGCTTCTTCTTTTTTTGGTCGCCACTGTGGATTATCTGCCTCCATCACCCTATTTTATATACTTTTCCTCTTCACTGGTAGCTCCATATTCAGCATCCTGTATCCACTATCACTCCTCTGTGCATGTCCAAACCATCTCAGGCTTGCCTTTCTATCTTTGTCTCCAAACCACTCAACACGAGCTATACTCACATCTACTCCTGTCCACTTTGGCCACTCCCACCTAAAACCTTAGTTGGAATCTTAGCATCTCCAGCTCAAACCAAAGCTAAGCACACACAACAGTAAGGGTCAAGCAGATAATCACAAGGGCAGGAATAGAACCAAGAGAGGAAATAAATTAACAGAGGATGCTCAAGAAAAAACAATTACGAAAAAAAAAAGAACCATTAGGAACACAAACACACACAGACAAAGAAAGATGAGAAAAAAGAGGAAAGTAGAAAACAGCGGGTCAATAAAAGAGTAACAGGAATCAAGATTAAAACAAAATTCAAAACCTCGTCCATCTGCATGTTGTGTGAAGGTTTAAATCTTGCTGTTTGACTAAGTCTCACCACTAATCAGTCTATTTCCATCTGCAGCAGGCAGCTGTTCCTCATGAAAAGCCCCAACCCTAACCCTGTTACAATGATTATTTTCTTTTTTCCCTGCTTGCAAAGACTTGGGAGAACAATTTAATAAAACCAAAAACTACATGTTCTGATAGCCTAGGGTTAGAGTTAGGCTTGTGATCATGTAGTAACTGCTGATGCCTCAAAAGGTTAAGACCTATACACTGTCTAGCATCAGTGAATGATGAGACAAACCTATTGACTACTTGTTTAACACAGTGGGGGTCTCTAAATTCCCAGATATTTCCATTAAGGATAGGGTCTAGGATTGTATTTTTTCCTATATTTACCAGAAAAAAAACTATTTCTAATGCTAATGCTAATTTTCAAATGTTGTATTTATATTATCTCGTGCTTTCTCAACGTGACCAAAATGAACATGGAAATAAAATAATGCGGGTTTAAGTAAAATAAATAATTAAAAGCATGCTATGAAATTTTCACAGTAATATATGTAGTTTTGTTAATTGGTCAAAGTATGAAGTCTGTGTTGTGCTTTTTAGCAGGATCTGTGTCTCTGCTTTATCTTTTAAGTGCTGGTAGCTGTAGTGTCAACAACGAGTTCAAAAAAGTGACGAGATCACCAAAAGTTACTTTTTCCCGTCTACTTGTACTGATCATACCATTTATTACACCTGTAGTCTAGCGAGTACATTGGAAGTGGATGCGTAGCTTATCGTCCTTTTTGTTGCACTGGAATGAAGTTCAGACTTTTTTCTTTTTGCATGAGAAACTAAGCGTGTATGCAGTGGTCATGCTAGAGGGCTGATTAGCTAATGGAGGAGGAGGTCGGGCAGCACAAGTGTCTGATGTGTGTGGGCTGTGTGGGTTTAAACTATGATTTTACTGTCCTCTGGAGTCCAAATCAGCAAATGGAGGTAGATAGAGGATAAGTGTTATAGAATAAAATATCCACCAAGTACACCTCCAGGCACACTGGTGTGGATATATCTGTGTATGTGTGTGTGTGTGTGGTTTTTCAGTCAGTTGTGAAAACGGTGATTCCGCCTCGTGGTTTAAAAAGTGAGTGTAATGATGTAGAATGGAAGAGGTTTATAGAGGCATTAAGCCTAACTCTTCCTCCTTCACTACCTCACTCGCTCTGTCTTTCTGTCTCCAGCTCTATTTCTTCGTCTCTCTCCCCCTCATCCTCAATGTCCCCCTCTCTCTGTTTTTATGGTGGCATTATTATCTCGCTCTCCCACCCATTACTGTTCAGGTTGAAGCAGAATAATAAATTTCAGGATCATGCCGATGCAGCACTTCTCCAGCTAAAGCTCATTCTGTGGACTCGACAGAAACGCTGCACCAAAACAACTCGAGACAACAAAGATTGTAGCATATACCTGCTTTCTTCATGTTTTCAGCATTTTAAAACTATTTTAGGGGGAAAAAGTCATTATTAGATGAAGACGTTGTGGTGGTTTTTCTGTGTTATTGTGGGTTTGTCTATGACTTGTACTTATTTACAACTTTTCAAAATCTCTCTGACTAGATAACATTTTTTGCATTTTCTAAAAACCTCTTTCTGTGAGACTATGATTAGTTTAAAACAGTGTATTAGGCTTTTTTCCTTCCTACTAATATACTTTGTTAACATTTTCAACATTTTTAAGTAAACCTGCCTCTACATCCGAATTTTTTCTTTGTCACTTTTTCTCTCACTACTCTGATGGTTTTTTGGTCACGTTTCGCTTTTTAATCCGTGCGCTCTATTAGCGTCAAATAAAGCAGAAACATGGACCTTTAAATCAATCTAATAGTGAGCTAAGTCTAATGAGCTACGAAGCATGGGAAATCAAAAGGTCAAAAGGTGTTGTTTTTATTACAAACTTGACTTTCTAACTTGTTTTGTCTGCCTTTGTCATTCTGCAGCTTTCAGCCTACGGTGGGAATGTCATTTTCACCGTGTCTTATACTGTAGAGCAGCAAGAACAAGTGAGCATCAGAGTCACATCAGAGCCTGACTTAATCATAGAGGTAAGTTTTTAAACAATTCACTACTTACTTGTAGCTGCAAACTTAAACTACTGTCAACATGCTACAATGGAGAGATATTAAGTCAACCAGGACTTGAGACTGGTCGGCTACCACCACCTGATAGGGAAAAATGTGTGCTACCTAAGCAGTTGGCGAGTGTTTGCTGGTTGTCTGTCACCCAGTGAAACTGCAGAATAAATCTTGGTCGTTATTGGTGATTGTTATCAGATTGCATGGAGGACACAGACTTGTCTGCAATCACTTGAAAGCTGCTTATTAACAGTCAGACTGGAAACTGAGAACATTCACACTTAAAGTGAAAGCTGTGCCTTACTGCTACAACCAGCACCTTTTGAAGACTTTGAACTCTAATACATTATTTAGTTTAATATTTCAAGTTGCGGTTTTCAATCCACAGCCACAGTAAGGGCTGAGACTGATTTCACATAGCAACAGCCATCAACCTCCAGCAACCACTTGCCAACTGGTTGGAGATTGCAAATGCCTGTGGTTGATAGGGGAACTGCATGACTGGAGCTTTATCAATTGGTTTCCCAACAACAGCCAGAAATTTCTGCCAATGTTTGAAGAAGTGGAACTTTTTATTTAGAATAAATAAAGGACCTCTAGCAGCCACTCAGCGACCAGTAAGGGAATACACGTTTTTTCCTAGTGATCTGTGGTTTCCGGGAGTCCCCAAGTGTTCTCGATGCCTATGTGACTCTAGCCTGAAACAACATATCCATGCAATCTATATGCATGGGTTTAAATTGTGTCGTTTTTTTGTTTTACTTTTTGATTCCTATATTAAACTGTCTTGGTGCATTTGGGAGACTCCTCAGGAACAGCCATGCGGTAGAGCCCAGGAATGAGATCCAACTGAACTGACTATTTCAGTTAAAGGGGTTGACAAGGACTGCTCCCAGCACTCAGCAAATACATTATTTTTGGTATCAGAGTAACTCAAGTGTGACTTTTTCTGTTTTTGTGTACTTGTTTTTGCGCTGTTTTCTGCGACCATGAGGACTAAATGAAGTTGCAAACAGTTAAGAAAAGACAGACAGTCACACACACGCGCACGCAAGCAGCTGCAGCCTGAGGAGAACTGCTGAACTTAGCAATAAAAAATGCAGATATACTCTCTCGCCCCTTCTCTCCCTGTATGTCTGTATAATGAGCAGGTTGCAATATGATGTATGGCAGCAATAAGCAAAGCAGCCACACTATTAGTTAACTGTTTATATCTCTCATATCACTAAACAACATTGTGTCTGTGTATGTGTGAGAGCATGGAGTACACAAAACAATGCACAGGTTGGTGTGTATGTGTGTCCTCTGTGCTGGAGCTGTAGAAAGGATCCAGTTGCTTTGCTAGTGTTCGAAGAAGTGGGAATTCTAATTAGAATAGTTGGAAGGGCTTTCAGAAACGATCTAAAATAAACTGCAGTAAATGTGAAAGCACCTAAGTCTCACATACTGACTGCAAAGAGAAAGCGGCGTACTGTGTACGGTAGGTGAGAAAGAATGGATCGAATGGATGAAAGGGCACGGAAAGAAAGCCATAAAAGGAGGGAATGAAAAGAAAAAGAGACTTTGAATCAAATAAAGGCAGGGCAGACTGAAAAGTGAAATAAAAGATGGGAAAGAAAGAAATTGACAAAAAAAGGAAAAAGTAGTGGAAGATTGAAAGGAAGAATGGTGGGTGTGAAACAACACAAAAGGAAGTGAAAATGAAAAAAGGAAAAGAAGAAACAAACAGTGAAGAACGGAACGTGGAAATAAACAAAAGTAAGAATGAGGAAGAAGGAAAATTGTGAGACGGATAGTCACAGACCAATGAGCTTGTGTTATTTAAAGATGTGTCAGTGAGATCGACAGACTGGGAGGAGATGGGAGGAGAAGGAGAGGAGGACAAGTGTCGGTCTTGTTGTCAACAAAAAGCCTCTCCAAATGATGACAATAATGAACCACCTACACACTGTCAGCCAGCTCTCTCCCTCTTCACTGTCTCTCTTTCAGCCTTTGTCTCGTTTTGTTCCCTCTTTTTCTGCCCTGCTGTTTACGCTGCATATCTGCATCGAGTTGTAATATTTTTTGTTGCTTGTTTTTGTGAAGTTCAAGAAGAAACTTGTGTGTTGTTCGCAAGAAGTCGGCATCTGAATAGATAATAATCTCTCTGTCTTTGTATGGCTCTGTGGCTTTGTTGCTTTCCGTGCCTTCCTCTCGATCCATGCCCACTCAATCAGTCCACTTTAGCACAGTTAAAGTGTGTAAAGAAAGAAAGAAAAGAATGCTGTAAACACAGAAACGCAGTCTTGAGCCGCCTCTCATTTTGTTTCAGGAAAAACCTTATAAAACTTTCCCTTTGTGATCTAATTTTTAAAGTAAGAAGTGAAATGTTTGTATTAAAAAGTATTAAGAATTGAACCAACATAATGATGTTTGTCTTTTTAAGGGATTTTTTAACTGAATTCATTTTCTTACTGGTAAATAAAAGTGAGGTGACTCTTTCATTTTCCCTCTTTGTCTCTGTCATCCTCTGATTTTGTGCATCTCTTGGCTGTGCTGCTGGTTTCACTGTCTTTATGACTCCCCCACCTCCCCCAATTCAATTAGTTTTTATTTAATGGTTTATTGGCATAGTAAGCTCTGCCTCTCTCTCACTCTCTCCCTCCATAAGTAGTTGTCACTCTGTGTTAGCCACTACATGCCATTGATCCGTTCTCAACAAGAGATAGTCAGATACCAGGCCTGGGCTCAATTTACTTTGCATTTAGTCCATTCAGTATGTCAATATAAACTGGAGCTCATTACCTAATGACACATCTTTCACTCTCACTCATTTTTTTTAGATAAGTTATAAATGCACATGTCAGTGCTGTCATAAAAGCAACAGAGGGAATGCCGATGTTTTACATTTATGAAATTAAAAGTTCAAATTGTAATTCTTTTGCTCTACCAGGGAGGAGGGATGAAGATTAATTACAAAAGGTTTGGCGAGCCTGTCTACCCATCCTCATCCAGCACCAGTCACATAGTTCTCCTGCCAGAGAACTTCCGGGTTTCAGAGACGGCACAGCCAGTTAGTCGGAGAGATTTCTTGTCTGTGCTGGCAAAAGTGACGAGTGTGATGGTGCGGGCCTCTTACAGCACAGAACGCAGCGCTGTTTACAGGTGGGTACGGAAACATGTACACATTTCGAAGTGTGCCATCATGACGTATTGATCATACGCTGTAAAATAAATCATTATATTAAAATTAAGCTTGTAAAATTAGTCTCATTTAGCTGTAGGAAACAAAATTTTCACTCAGAATCAAGACTCTGAGGCATCTCCTTCTTATAGCCTGTGAATATCACGGCTTTAACCTTGTGCAACCTAAACATAAAGATGGTGGTTTTATAGGTGAAGCTTATTGCCGTCTGAGAGTAAAATCTGCCTGAGAGAATGAACTCGGCTCATAAAACCTCTAAAAGACTTATCAGCAAAACTGCCCTGTTTACACACAAGCTGTATGTTTAACTGTGAAGGCGGACAGACTCCCAGTATGCTGTATGATTTTGCTTGATATTTGTATTTCTGTGCCCTCCGTGTGCAGACTCCACTCATTTTCTATGGAGGTAGCAAATCCCGCTGCTATAGGAGAGAGGAGAGCATCAGCTGTAGAAGTGTGTTCTTGCCCTTATGGATATGGTGGAACTTCTTGTGAGGTAAATACACACCATTCATCCATTTGTGTTAACGGCTTATCCAATGGGCACATAAGGCTGGTTGGTTACATACTGTAGCACTAATGCATAGAGACAACCGTTCATACTAACATTTATACCTACAGTCAATATAGACACAAGCACATAGAACAAACAAGATGCTACCAGACAATAAAACTTATAGAAGGGATTAAAAACAAATATGACAAGAACAGAACCAAAAAATATTTAACTAAATTCAATATCCAATTGGGCCAAGAGATTAGTAAAGATCTCTGCTTCAGATGGTATTGTTGCAAAATGTATCCTGAATAGAATTAGGTATATTACACATAGCTAATTATTCCATTTGTATGACAAAATAACATCCAATCCAATGTGCAAAAGGTGGATAGGTAGACTTACAAGTCTACAAGAATCAACCACAGTTACTGGATACAGAGCCGTCTGGACATTAGGTGGAAGTCTGAAGCTTTCTGCAGAACATGAAGAAAGTTGTGGTTACCTTTAATTTCTCTGGAGAGCGTTGCTGAAAACCTGGAAGCTTGTCTCTTGTGAAAACACACATTCTTTGACAAACACTTTTTTGCTAGCCATAAGTCAAAATTTGGGGTTATTATTTTGAAATTTCAACTTTCAAATTTCAATAATAACAATACGTTGTTTTCTCAGACGTTTGAATTGCTAAGACCTAACTTTTTTAGATCATTTTAACTTATGAATGACAGTTTAGGGTTTTTTTTTTTTTCTAGTTGTGGGGAAAATATTTTATAGTCTTGAGTTCATGCAGAACCGAATAAGACGTGTGAGCATCGCCTCAGCGGAGCAACATTTGTTGCACTGAAAGGGCATTGATGAAAAGATGTGGTTCAGTTTTGTGTGGCGTAACTGCATATCTTTGGACTGTAGCGCTGTGGAGTGAACCCATGCATCCACTGGGAGTACATGGAAACTCCACACAGAAAGGCTGTGGAGGCTGTAGCTGTAAGATGGCAGGTCTAACCACTGCACTGCAAACAAGCACAAATAAACAAAAAAATCATTCAAACACAAAGAAACATTGATTAGAAAAAATTCCAGTGCAAGAAAGGATTCTTGAAAAAAAAAAGAGTACCTATTCAAAAGATTGTAAGCCCACACTGAAATGTACGCAGTCACTTAATGATGTTGGTGTGTATTTCTATGTTAGAACATCACATGTGTACTTTTAAATGTGGCTAATGCTAACACATGTACAAGTAATCCCTGTGAGCCACAAGTAGAGGCTTCAATTTGTATCCTGCTATACTGACATTAACTCAGGATGCATTTCCTTAAATGTTCATCAACTGAAGGCTTAGACACCCATACATACAAACAACAGTCTCTTTCTGTAAATGTTTGTGCACAGTTTTGTGTTACAGGCATTTAGTGTACTGATTCCTTGATATACTGCATGTTATGCTTGGTAATACTTGACTGCACTTCAGGTGGAATTTTAGTGCATTCGTTTTTCATAAATACATCAAAAAGAAGTGTCCTTATTCATGATAACACCTTATTTCCACGCACATATTCCAGATGGGATTTTTACTCAAAGTGAAAAGATGTTTGTCTGTGTAGCTTTTAGTTATCCAGATCATGGTAGCTGGAATGAGCTCAGAAAGAAAGGGACTTTTTTAAGTCCCGTGAAGACTTGGTTTAAATACCTGGAACATTCTTTAGAACTCAAGAATCCTCTTGGATGAGAGGTGAAACATCTCCACGAAACCTAAAGAAGTCCTCTCCATTTCTTTCCAGGCTCCTCAGACAGATGGTTGGAAATGCTGTGGATCAGCTTATATTATCTGGGGACTGTTTAACTAGTCTAAAACATCCAAACATATCTCAGAACATAATTTTATTCAAATTGTATTGTGATTCCTAAATTTGTCTCATGGAGATTTGAATTGCTTTATTCAAAGAAAACTGTAAACAATAACACGAAATTACCGTTTAGTCTCAGAATGCAGCTGATGCGCTGTTGTTTTAGCTGACAGCATCATGCTTTTGAAAGTCACACACAAGCGCACACGAAAAATATTCCAAGTGTTGCACTCAGAAACACACACACACTTGAGGTGCTAATTAGAGGATCACCATGTAATTACTCTACGCTACAGCAGCTTGAAGAAAGACACTCCGTCTGGCTTTCTGTATTTTCTAACTTTGTGATCCTGTGTGTTTCAGGCGTGTGCGCTTGGTTTTCGGAGGGTAAACGGGAATCTGTATAACGGGGTGTGTGAACCTTGTCACTGCCATGGACACACAACACAATGCCATGAAGTCACGGGGCATTGCTTGGTAAGTAGCTTAGTAGTGGGTGAATTATGTCACCTGTTTCTTTTTCTTTTTCATTTGTATTTATTATTTATTACTATTGCTTTTATGTGTTTGTTTTATGTGTAAATTAATACTCAAAGATCTAACCCTATTTATCATCATTAAAATGTAATAAAAGAGTAATGAGTAATGAGTTCAATTTTCTTTATTTGTTTGTTTTGAAAAGTCTCATTTCTTTCATTAACCGCATTCTTTTTTTTAATCAGTAATTAAGGGAGTTGAATTGTTTATTTGGAAGCCGTGGATTACATGTATTCATATTTTTTCAGTGTTTTTGTTTAAAATGTGTCCAATTAATTGAGGAATTGCAGAAAATCTTCCAAAATTGGTTGAGTTAGCTGAGTGTGAGAGTTTTGAAATGAAAGACACTCAGAAGCTAAATGCATAACTTAATATGGAATACATAAATGAGCTTTTATGTATACAAAAGAGTTTTTTTCGTATTAGTTGAAGTCTCCCCGGATTTGCCATCTAGTGGTGAAGGCAGGAATTGCAGTGTGAAATGAATAAACATTCCAGATTGGCCTTCTTATGTGCATCTGCTCACATGCACTCACCCCAGTCTGCACATTGCCTTAGGGTTAAGCTGTCAGTTACCATCGCACATACACACACCAGAATACACACACAACACACACATACACAGCGATCTATGGGTTTTGTATTGCCATGTTATGTTTCATTATAGATGAGGAGGATGCTGGGATGTGTCAGGGGGAGGCCAACACACAGAAAAAGACAGACAGACAGGCAGGGAGGCGCTTTCTTTTTCTCTGACACACACACACACACACACACAGAGGAAGACAATTTGACGTGAACTCACTCACAGCACATAAACAACCTCTGTATACATATTCATACACAGTGAGTGGCAGACAGATCTGCACACAAACACACCTCTTTTCTGAGGAATTTGATTTCCAGCTCGGGTTGAATGACTGAATGATGCCATGGTTATACAGGTTAACACACTGTGTATGTGTCACATTGTGATTCACCATTTGGGACGTTTGAGCTGAGAAAAAAATGATTTGGAATAAGATGACATATAAATGCACAGACTAGCTCAAAAGTACCACTGGCGCTTCAGCTGGACATATGAAAACAACCAAGATTTTGGCCAATAAAAGAGCTGTCTATTATAGATACAGCATAATTTTACGGTTTAAAAACTCTTAAACTGAAATCTTCAGATTTTCTATTTTACGTTCTCAGTGTTGAAGAATTTAGTCTTATTAAATAAGTCGTGATGCCACAATTACAAAAGAGCACTAATGGAAGTAGAAGGTTTTATAGCATAAGTGCAGGTTTTAATATTGAGTTTCTCTCTGGAAGCAACTTCTTAATTCAGATTAAAAAGATGCAACAGAAGAAGCATCGCTGTGTTTTGATATATGAAGGTGAAGCCTCCCATTAGAAACCGTAGGGTGTCGAGGACTGTCGATTTTTAATTTCAGAGAATTTTTTGTACTGCCACTAAATCTGGCCTTAACTATGTTGTTTGCAGCCTTCACAATTTTGCAGGTAAAATATTGTTGGGTTGACTGTTATGATGTTGGGTTTCTGTTAAACCATTTCCTGTTTTATTTTGGAATTCTTTGTCTGTTTATGTTGTTGATTTTATTTCCTGTCTTTGTTAGTTTTCCTTGTGATTGTATGCTCTGCCCTGATTAGTCTCATCTGTGGCGTTCTTCATCCCTGTTTCCAATTAGTCATCATTTACCCGGCTATATGTGTGTGTCTGCAGTTGTTTTCATCTTACTTGCCTCATTTACCTAGACCTCATATTGTTGTCACCCTGCTTGGCACGTGACAAGGTTATGAATGTGATAACTGGAGAACCGGGTGACGTAGGATTTTGAAATTCATATCACAGTTGCATCTACTAAAATCTTCAGATGAATTTGAATCTCGGTGAACTTGACCTCAAGGTAAAGGTCAGAGATCAACTTTACAGAAAATCTTGTGAGCACAATAAACTGAGAGCAACGTCACCTAGGCTTTTCAAACTGATATCATAGGTGTGTCAAGGTCAGAGGTCACCTTTTTACAAAAATCTGGTTCTGCTGGTGTTGCTTGTGTTGCCAGGATTTTCTGGTGTAGTTTTGTATGCAAACCACCCCCACAATGGCAAAAAGCTCCAAAGGTGTGAACTGTTTAGTTTTTATCTTTCTAACCTTTAACTTTTAAAAACAAAAAAAATATTATGAAAAAAAAAGCAGATCTGTTCTAACGTCTTTCTTTCTAGTTTCTTTTTCTTCCAAGTCTCAACTTAAATCATCCCCTTTTACTATTAACTGCACATGTATGGCTTGACTCAGTATGGTACAGGTTCAGTTCGTTGTTCTTCCTGTCTGTCTTTAGCATTTTTGACTTTTGGAAATTATGCAAAGTTCGTCTGCAGATGTGTATAATATGTACGCAGCTAAAAAAAAAAAATAAAACAAATACTCGAGAGGTTTTTTGTTTCCAAGACAATTCCTTGTTACTTGAAAATAAAAAATAGGTCTTATTTGGAGTTTTTTCCTTCCTAAATGACTCAACAGAACAATAGCACAATGTTGTTGAGGTATTTTTATCATTGCACAAACTGCTTAAACTCTTCTTTGAAATTGCATCCTCAGAGAAATTGACTTGCTCTCCTGACTCAAATGAACTTTAACCTATTTTTCTCCCCCAGGACTGCTCCCACAACACCGCTGGCCCCTACTGTGACACCTGCCTGCCAGGTTACTATGGCAACGCCACCCGTGGGTCACCTGCGGACTGTCAACCCTGTGCCTGCCCGCTCAATATTCCCAGCAACAAGTAGGTTCTGAAGACCCTGGGGTTAATGCAGCCAGGGCAGCACAATTTAATCAAATGCCTCAATCTATCACTGTTGACCCACCTGACTCTGCGGTCCCTATTTCTCTTAATAATCTCCCGTCTCCTCCTGACACTCTCACCATGTTTTTTTTTTTTGTGTGTGTGTGTGGTCTTTAGAGGTTATCGCCACAACTAGAGACTTCATCACTCTCGGCGGGAATATATTTGTAATGACATTAATGGAAATATCATCACCACAGGTAGACTCATAAATATAAGTGGAGAAACATTATCCCTGTGGGTGGAAATGTCATTGTCGCTGTTAGAATCAACATAATTTCTACTAGGAGCCTTAACACAGTAGAAAATGCAAACCTCCCACAAGTCATTAAGGGATTGAAAACCCTTTAGCATTATATTCCTCTCATATGGAAAGCTACTCATGCTGTGGCTACATCACAGACTTGAATGACAGATGCTCAGATTACACCACACAACAGTTTTCCAAAGAGATGCAAAAATACTACCAGACATGAAGACCTTTAAACCACAGCTATTAAAAAAACATACACATTGATATGTTGTCTAGGGGTAGGCACATTGCTCAGTTACATGCGGTTATTAAATTGAACTCCCTCCGGGACCACACGTGTTGATAAAGTTTAGAAAAATCATCGTTTATAAGAATTTATTTACACACGTCTGATTTGGTTTATTCATGAAGCATACACATAGTACATAAATGACATAATTTAATAGTATTTTATGTTGTTTTGAGTTTTTGGGTTTTTTATTTTTTTTTTGCAAAGATGTCTTCACAAAGTGGAGTCATTAAAATCAAAACTACCAGCCGGTGTAAATTTGGATAATCTTTCCTTCAAGGTGTCCTCCTCATGCATCTCTGGTGCACTTCAGAGCAAGTGTTATTATTACGTTTCTCCCTGGAAGTCCAATTTTGTATCCTGGCACTCTCTGCAGTGCACGCAATGTCCACTCTTCTAGCGTGTCAAAAAGCCAACATTTCAACTTGAATTTTATATAGGCGAATAAGGGAAATGCTGCTAGCAGTGAGTGAAGGTGTGTTGGTGTGGCCAAAAAAAACATGCTGTACTCTAGCACACTTTTGCCATAGTTTGGTCTATTTGAGTGGAGTGCCCTCCCTCCGGATGTGTCGGTAGACTGCTTGTTGAAAGCCTGATCATGGAGGACAAATTCACAGGGCACAACCCTGTCAAAAAATAATGAGCGTGCTCCTACTCGTGCTTCTGATTTGATGTGCCACCTTTAGACTTGTGCACTTCAGACTTTTTGACTGAGAACTCCTCTTTAGTGTCTGAGTCACAGAGCCAGCCGTCATCTCCTGTGAAGGTTCTTGAGATAAAAGGAGGGTTAGTATGATACTGAAGCTGAATTTGAGGTCCATGGTTAAGTTGCAAATGCAAAATGGGTCTTCCTCAGAGCAATATATGAATAATAGTATCACTGGAATTGGTGTAGAGAGACGCTCATGCAAAGTCCAATCTTATAAAGGCAAAAATTGTAAAATAAATTATGCAGTTAATTTTTTAGTAAATGTAAGAAATGATCAACTTCAGACAGAGTAGGTTATATATAGACATTTTATTTTTATATTATTATATTATTGAGCCGCAGATTTTCTAAATGACCAGGGTGTGATGCTCTATGGGACTTGCATGGACAAACAACACAGGCAGCAGCAGCTGAGAATTCTCATGCAGTCATGACATGACATATTCAAAACCCTAAGCGCTAAAGTAAGACACAACTCTCTCATACCTCAGGCCTCCACACCACCCTGGCAATAATAATAATAGCTTTGAGAAGCCATGCCTTTCACCCCCCTCAAAATAGCCATCCAGTCCCTTATGTTTACCAAAATAGCTAGTTAGATTGTTCCACTTATCTGTAATGTCTGAGCTCTTATGAACATCTGATGAAGTGATTAGTGTCAACAGGGGAGAAGACTGGGGTTTTTAATCAAATCAATAAAAAAAACTGCTTTTTTTTTGGATTGCTGTTCTTTTTAATTTATGCCTGGGATTAATTCTCTAACTGCCAAGGACACGTTTTTGTCTTTTTCCCCCCCTTTTTTTAAAAATCACTATAGTTGAATGGAAGTTAATAGTCAATTATGTATCCACGCAGGCCTTAAAAATCTGCAGATAAAACTGTATATGTCTGTTTAACTAAGCATTTTTCACCGCCATTACGACCTAAAATTGTGCCAAATTTTTCCAAAAAGTATAACACGGCCTGCTTTTTTTCCTATTATTTTTATTATTATTTGTATTTTAATCTTGGTATTAATCAGTTTATCAGCTTTAAAGATTATTTATTTTAGTAAAATGTGTTTTTTATGATTTTGTTAATTTTGCAGATACCACCTTGCTAGATATATTTGCAGACCAGTGACATCCTTCCCATCCTGGCCCTTGCAATACCACTTCTAAACTGCAGCAGCCTCCTTCACCTAATGATCCACACGGCAAAATCGGATAAGAAACATAAAAGCACAATCCTTAAAGGCACTTTAAAACTGCATCACTTTAATGACCACCAGGGGGCAACTCGTGTGACGCGAAATAACTTCTTCCTCAGGTTCCTTGCTCTGTGACATCAGTAAACACTTAGCAATAAAGCATTAAAATGAGCACAGCTGCAATTTGGCTGTTTACAACTTTATACAACTCTTCTCATACAGCTATGAATTATTTACATTTTATACAGAAAGTGTTTTTCAGTGTTTGTTGTCCACATACTCTGGCCAATGAAATGTTATTTGTAACTCAGTGAGCCAGCACACAATTAATGAGCCAGTCAGTCAGCTAGTGAGTCAGTCTGGTGCCTGGAACCCGAGCCAGCAGAACTATCTATAGTTTTTGGAAGTGGGAGGGTGAGAGAAAGAGGGAAAGAGACTATCATTTTACTTTGTCGCTGTCTCTTTCTCTCTCTCTCTCTCCCCCTCTCCCTTGGTTCGTTAGGCTACACTTTGTAGGGTGGAAGAGGGTTTTTGTAGTCAGGATTGGTGCATGTGTGTGTGCAAAACAGAGAGGAAAGTAAAATGTGTATGTGAGTGAATGTGTCATTCAAAGTGCGAATGGGACTGGGAAGAGAAAGCAGAGAAGCAGGTGTGAATGTGTATATGAGGAGGCAAACAATGGCCTTAACTCGCCTCTGTCTTCTCTTCTTCTTCCTGCCTTTTGCCACACTGGGACAACGCTACCAAACTCATCAAAAACTTCAACAACAATCGCAACAACTTCATCTTGGGAACCATGGTAGCTTCAGTCCAACCTGCCACTTGAGTCAAGACGGAGAGCTGCTGTGTGATCAGTGTCGGCCTGGCTACACAGGACCACGATGCGACAGGTAACACACAGTCAAAGCGCTTAGAAACGGTGAAAGGTCTGACACAACTCTGCCTGAACTATGTGCCTAATTTTCACCTTAGCCCAGCTAAGTTCATTATTATTTAATTAAATGACACTGTCAGAAACACACATCTATTAGTGTAATGCATTCAAACCAGCAAAGTATGTTTCATGACCAAATAGTGGCACTATTAGATGTACCCAACTCTAAGTACTAGAAAGTAAACCAGACTTATAGTCAGTTGTTAATTTTGTTTTTTAATGAAAACGGAGAAACTACTGCTCATTAACTGTTTCTTGAGTACTCTGTCTCATTGTCCATCTATTTTATTAGCTGAGTGACATTCTTCTTCCATTAGCTATGGGCTCACCAGTGCAAAACTAATGAGAAAAATATTTCTCTCTGGATGTGAGGCTTGTTGAAACTTCAGGCTATACTGTCATGTTATGACATGCACCGAGTAAATATAGACGTTTCACCACCCAGGCTGACTCAAATACAGTACATTTGGTTTGTATTAAAATAAAACTGCTCATAGTTAAAATTCTAAGGTTCTAATGTGCTGTAAGAGTACTCTTCATTATGTTTGCTTTTCATATAAATATATATGAAAAAGCATTTAATAAACTTCAGACAAAGCCTTGTTCTTGCTTTTTGCTAGATGGAAGGGGCCTACCGGATGTTTGATGTGCTGATCTGATTCATGTTTTGTTTTTGTAAGCTTTTATGAGCTTCTTTAGTGACAAGTTTTTGGAAGTATTTTTTCTTCTTCTTTTTTACACCACAGCCTGGCAACCCAGAAGCTGTTTTCTGTTGTATAAATTTATAAATCTTTCATAAACTCAGTTGTTTGCACTGTCGTCACATAGCAAAAGAACATCATTAATCATAAAAAGTGTTTGCCCTGGGCATGTGCTGATTTCTTACATTCTTAAAAATTGGTGTCTAAAGCTCAAAATGTGTTCGTAGTAATCATGTTCTATAATCAAACTAGTGCACTTCTCAAACACATTCATTCATCTTCTTTTATTAGATAACCTATGGCAAATTTAGAATTGCCAATTACCCTTACTCATGCATGTGTTTAGTCTGTGGGAGGAAGCCAGAGATGGGTGCCCAGGGAGAACCCATGCAAGCATTAGGAGAATATGCAAACACCACACTGAAGGTCCACAGTAGGCAGCTTGATTCAAACATAGGACCTTCTTGCTGTGAGGCATCAGTGCTAACTACTGTACTACTGAACTGCTCTTCAAATCTCATAGTTCTATCTTGTAAAGCAAATGATTCAGTCTTGGGCCTGAAACATTCTTAACCTCTTATTCTCGAACTTTAAATGGGTAATAGGCCAGTTCACTGGCTTGGAGGCAGTTTTGGAAGGGAAGCAGGCAAATGGGTCACTTTTTAGAAGTAAAATTGGTGCTGTAGGAGGAACTGAACACCAGGTTCAGGCACCCGACATTCATCAGACCCAAGAGGTTGGTATAGACAGAAGGACAGACCGTGTGTAACAATGCCCCTGCTTAACCAGCTAGCCCTAATGGCACTGGAAGGTTGGGCCCATCCTTGGAAACAAAAGCCATGAGTGCCATGAGAGTGTGCACATCTTGGTAACAGTAGCAAATATTCAGTTAACAAATTTAAAGGTCGAATCTTGGCTGCTCGGTTGAGGGGAACGTATCAACCATGATGTAAACCACTGAGTTTCTGGTGTTTGCCATTGAAGTCAACTGACCACTGTCTCTAATGCCGCATAGATTAGTGTTTACATTTTCAGCTTTTACAGCTTTTACAGATATGCAAGGATATGTTCATATGTTTTTCTTAATGAGAGTAACAGATTAATAAAACAACTTAATATTGGCATATTTACACTGTTATTTATAAACAGTCTCAAACATTTGAGCTAATATGATGACAAATTCTGCAGTTGCAGTTACCCGAGCTTTTCTATTTGTTGCTGCTGGAGGATGCGGCGCCTCAGTTCGCTGTCCTGAATAGTATGCATGCCATGCATTCCACATCAGAATCTCTCTGTCTGCCTTTGAGTCTTTTTATAAACCTCATTTGCCACTGGAAAGTAAACTGACTCATTGCCAGCTCTGTCTGTCATAGAGTAGCATCTGCACCACATTGCTTTCCAGCCACTGTGCAATATGGCCTCGTGCTGGAACGTGGCCCAACCAATACAATTTGACTCCTCCACCTTTCCAATCTACTTCTGTGTCCGTGTATTAATGAGTGACCACATGGTGCAGTCTGTGTTTTTAATTAATCCTAAAGTAGGAAAAAGCTCATAATATAGTAAACATTCCTTGTTGCTGCTTTTAATGAATTTAGAAGATGGTGTTTAATTTTGGGGAGTCTGTGTGTGCCTGTACATGTTTACCTTTTGTGCCTGTGTGCCGGTAAATTTATGGATCTGCAGCTGAATATACAGAAGGCATCTGTGTATACATTCTCCTATCCACATGCATGTGTTGTTTTGATCTCACACTGCACAGTCTCATAACGCACAGGAGCTGATGTAATGGGAAATATTTTATTACTAATGACAGCATTAAGTAGGTAATCAGCAGTTGGTGTTTCTTGTTCTATTAGTCTAATTGATACCTGCTATGCACTACCTGCCATTACACTTCATTATCTACAGTGCTTTTGTTGTTGTTTGTGGTAATTAATTGTAATGCGCCAATTTGTCTGTATTATGGGCTTTAACAAAATAAGCTGGTCTATTCCGCCCATGCTAATAGACTATCCACTCACTGCTAAGTGATTCTGCTTTTCAATTTCCTGTCCATAAACAGTCATTTAGAATATAGCTGAAAGCTCTTTATTGCAGCTGCTTAACAAATGTAGGTTAAAACACTTTGAGTCACGGGGTGCTATTTAGGGTGTGCCAGTATGTTAATGGTCTTGCAGATAAGGTCTTTCATTTGTCATGTTAGGTGCTTGCTGCCAACTAGCTGATATGATGGATATAATGTACTTTAATCGATCACCCTCTCATCTAGAATGCAGAGGGATTAAAGTGAGGGTTATTGTTAATGTTGTCGTAATACTACTTATTGATGTTAATGTTAAGAGATGTGCAAATGTAATCATATGTCAAGCTTCGCTGTACGTGTGAGTAAAAGTAGAAACTGTAACACGGAGGCTGCTGGAGGCTCCAAAGTAACATTCAAAAATAGAAATGAAGACTCCAGGAATTAAGTATCTGTTACTTAATTGACGCATTTTAATTGACGTATTTAAATACCTTGTCTCTATGCCGGTTTATGGAGTTTGTCTCAGCTACTCCTCACATGACTGCAGGTGACTAAATGAGTAAATGAGTGGAATAGTCAGTTCACATGGGATTGTTGCTAGTAGTATTAAAATGAGTGTTGGCAGAGCATTAGTTCAGCATTACTAGATAGCAGCAGATTAATTGGTGCTTTGGTTTTAATGAAACTTTTCAGTGCAAAGTTCAGACAATTACTGTATATTGGATTTGATTGACAGTGGCCTGTTAGCAGCAGCAGCACCATCGCAATTATCATCAAACTTGAAACAGCCCTCTTCAACCCGAGGATGACACCACAAAGAAATGCGTTTAATCAGAAGCTTTTTGTGAACTACGAAAAGTACTCTGACAACGTTTTATGGCTTACTTTGTACTTCATTGAACGTTATAGTAAAAAGCTGATTCCAAAAATGATTTCCAGGTGCTGTTAAAGCACTATAGTTTTTCACATAGCTAATTGTTAATTCAGGATTGAGGATTTCAGCTTGTTCTTTTATGAGGAAATTAGTCTAAACTGGTTGATGGTGCAAATTTGAGAATTGTTTTAGTGTCGTTCTGTTTTAGCCTGTGTTGGAATGATTAAAAAAAGCCTTTAACAGTTTTATTGACAGTGGAGACGAACATAATTAATGATTATATTAAGAAGAAACTGAGCATTTATTCCCCTGTTGTCGACTCTCCATTCATCACTCTGAGAATACAACGCGACTGTTACGATCCAAGCCCCTCTGCCCTTCTCTATCTCTCTTTACAAGTTATGCCATACATTTCCTCCACACTCTGATGATTTTGACCAGGTGTTTAACCCCTCCAAAAATATCAACTTCAATCACGCTAGACTAGCCACTATAAATACCTTCACTTCCTCTTGAGGCCCAAGTAACTACACGTATGCATGACTAGAATAGAAGCCCTAACATCGGAATTCATCTCGCATATAAGACTAAATACAAACAGCTCATCTCAACTCAAGAAATAAAAATGCTGCCAGTAAAACTGGGAAGATGTGCAGACATGCTTCAGAAACATACATGTGCACATACACACACACTCGGAGTGGGAAGGAAAGCTAATAAACCAGTTCTATTGAGTACCAAGGAGGGTCAGTGGTAATAATGGCTGGCTGCTCTTGACTCTTTCCCTCACTCTGTCCTTTCCTACCCTCCACCCCCACCCACACCCCCTCTCTAAATTCAATTCTCTTTTCAATGTGAAGACCTTTCCCCTCTCTCCATCTCCCTCTCTTCTCTCATCTGATCGCTCTCCCTCCTCCCTTTCACTTTTCTCTGTCCCTCTTCCTCTCCTCTTTCATCTCAATTCCCTTTTCAGCCTGTAGAGCCTGAGCTCAGCTTTGGCCGGCCTTATTTGGTTTCAGCGGCTCGTGTGACAGCGCCGCTTTCTCAGGTTAATATATTTCCCAGGCCTTGGCCATCTTCCTTTTTATTAATCAAATGAAGTTATTGAAAAAGCAAAATATTGAAATCCTGAACTGGTTTGACAGTTAACACATTTACTTGTTCTTGATCAAGAGTCCTAACGACCCTTTGGAATGTTTGTATCCATGAATGATGCTTAAAAAAATAAAGAATCCATCACAAAAACATCACTTGGTTTTTAAGACCACCTGTCATAAAAACAAAACAACACAAACTAAACATTTGCTGAACTGAACTGATGTTTTTATACCAAAATTTGAGCACAAATTTGAAAAAATAAATCAAGAATAATGTTTCCACAATGCAAGTTAAAAACTATAATTTAGCATCTTAATCAAAAAATAAAGTGCTTTAATTCTTTCCCCACTTTTTTTTTTTGTAAAATATCAAATTTGAAAATTCACGGATAATAATAATTAGGATTTAATATATCATTTTGATTAAAGACCTTAAAGAGCGCACCCTGGTGGATTCACCAATACGGAAGCATAAAAAATGATTTATTGTTAATTTAGGACAGCTGTGGCATAAACCTTACTATGGCTGGTGGACGAAAAAAATAGGTTAAAATAGGTTATACGTTTTTTATGATTTTGGTTTTTAACGTTACAAATAAATTTGAAATGAACATTGCAGGGTTTTTTTTCGTAGTCTGACTTTTTGTTTCCAGTTTATAAATGTAGTTCAGACAGCAATGCTTTTATTTGAGTAATAGCTGGGCAGCCTGCAGTAAACATCCTGAAGTTCACTGCCTAAAGCCATTAAATCTCCATTTTTAAAAAAAAATGTCTTCAAGGGTTTACTTTTATAAACTTTAATTTCTATGCCCTTTCATTTCTGTGGGTTTGCCCTGTAGCTCTTTGGGTGTTTATATTTATGTAATGGGAGTGTACGTATATGAATAATTCAGCTGGACTGGTATCTAAGCAGTTTAACTGGTCAAACAAATTATATAACAGTGCTCATATTTCCTGTGGACATTTGCTGATGATTTTTAGTTCTTGTGTAGATAGAGACTGGATTTTGGCTTCTGTGATAGTTTGGCACTTTAATTAGTAATTTTGTATTCAAAGTGTTTTATAATACTGGTGCTAGAAGCTGAAGTAAACAATACTTATATTTACCTGCTTTTACCTGCTGACTCATACGCAGTAGTTGTTAGATGCGAAAGAAAGATAGAAGACAAGGTGACCCACTGTGTATTTTCTTTCAAACTTGAAAGCTAAGGGGGAAAAACATATTTTCAAGTGTTATTTGGGATATAAAAGCAGAGCAAAACTGTATTTTCAAGATATTAGTGCAATACCTTCTGTTATTCTCCTTCAGTAACAGAGAGAGGGAGAATAACAGGATGGCATCTTGTTGGTGCAGCTCGAAAGGGTAAAGCTTGGATGTTAATCAGGGTTGAGGCATTTTAAAAGCTCCTGTATGTCGAATTTTATAGTTAGACAACTTCTGCTGCTGGTATAAGAGTTGGTATGTAGAAAATGTGACAGTTTTTACAGTCAGTTTCAGCCCAGTCATCCTCAGTGGTGCTTTTTAATGCTACCTCTAGGAGTCAGAAACTTGACAGATTACAAGTAAAAATCTGCAAAAACCTTGATGCAGAAAAATATTTGTGGGTTCACTGGCATGTCTTCTATCTGCATTGTACAAAATATTTCACCTTATTCTCTTATTATTACGTCTCCCACAGGAAGCTGATCGGTTAAAGATGATGTGAAACTGATTTATCCATCTCTTGGTATCTCCACTGATTCTCAGATGTTCCAATGGATACTATGGTCAGCCCACTGTACCAGGGGGATCCTGCAGACTTTGTGATTGCAATGGCAACCTGGACCTTTCCATACCTGGGAGCTGCGATCCAAATACAGGCCGGTGTCTGCGGTGTCGCCAGGGTTATGGTGACGAAGCTTGTGACAGCTGCGCTGCAGGTTATTATGGAGACGCCATCATAGCAAAAGATTGCCAACGTAAGTAAGACGACAAAAATTTAAACAGAAATCAAGCAACTGATATACAGTCATGGGAAAAATGAAAGCTTCTGTTGAGCTTTGTCTCTTGCTTGTTGCATGGCCCAATTTCAGACAGGCTTTAGCAGTTGTACAGATGGAGTCACATCAGTATTATAGATATGTTTATTTTGTTATTAGTATCATTATTATTAATAGTAGTAGTTGTGGTGGTGGTGGTACTAGTTGTAATATTCGGTTTTAAGATATTTTTAAATTTTCTAACATGGCCAAAGCTTCACAATTTGTTTGTACTTATTTTGTGATGCAGTTCTAAATTTGGACATAAAATACAGACAGTTTCATGAATGAAATTACTCATTTGATTTTAATCATTTGTGCACCAAACATTCACTCTCTGATCTAGAGCTAATTTTGCTGGTACATCCACTCCAAGGAAGACTATTGTGAATCTTTTCATTTGTAAATAATCTTTCTCGCTTTCGAATGATAGATTTCAAATGGTTTGAAAATGGCTTCATAACCCTTCTCAGATTTATGGGCAGCAACAGTTGCTTCTTTAAAATAATTTCTTTTCTCCTTGGCATTGTGTTAACACACACTTGAATGCTCCACACCAACAAGCTGCCAAAACCTCTGCTTTTATAGCGGTGGTCACACTTGCTGATGATCAATTAATCAAATGCATTTGACTAGCTGTACTCAGCTGCTACTTACCCTCTTAAGTCCCATGGAATCAGGCAGTTCTTCTGCATTTTATCTTAGCCTTTGTTAAATAAAAAATATTAAGAGCTGCTAAGGATCAGATCTGATTTGATATCTAAAACCTTAGAACTGAAGGATAATGTTCTTCCCTTTTACCATGAAGGTATGTTAGTTTATATCGTTGTAGTATTTCAGTAGTTTTCAAACTTTTTGTGTCCAAGGCACACAAAAATGTCTGCACGGTGACATTTTATCAGTTGTTTTTTTGATTACACAGTCAGACGAAGGCACTTCTTCTTGTGGCATCTAACATGATATTTGGTTACCTGGTTGTTCTTGACACAGTCTCATAATTCCCACCATCCAGCAACTTCATGAATTGACCTAGTTGCCTTTGACAGAAGGCCTTAAGATGTTTTTTATTTCCTTCTGTGCATAAAGAGTATGAACATAGCATACTTAGACTTAACTTCAGACATACCGGTAAACCCCAGCACACCATTTGTAAAGCTCTGGTCTAGAGGAAAAATAAAACCCACACGTGCATCGGGTCTGAGTGCATTTACACTGCAAGCACTATTCACACACATTGGTGTTCACTTGCAGGGGAAATTTTAGAATTTCATTATCCTGTCCATGGACATTTGGACCATAGACCACTACCAGAGCCACAGGGACCCCTGACTTGGTGTATATATCCAGACATCAAGTAAAAATCTGATTCATCTGTTTTGGTGTAAACAGCACAAATTTAATATTCTCAGTTCTAAATTTGTTTGCATATTGTTCTAAATCACATACAGATCTGTTTATTTCACAATGGGACCTCACTGAAATCTGAATTCATCTCACTCTTGCGTCGCTCATATATCTCGAAGGTGCTGGAGATTACCTGCTCTGGAGAACGCGCTGGAAAACAAACCCCACAGAGGTTTTATGAGCTTTGATAGTTTGTAGTTGCTACAGTGCAGACAAATAAAAAACAGAGCAGACATTGAAACTTTGAAAAGATTTTTTTGTTTTTTGCTTTTTTAGACTGAACTAATGTTTTGTTGTCACAGCAGCTGTTGTTTGTCTAAAAGTTACATTGGTCCTCGTTTACGATGGCTATCCACTAAGGTGGCACTTCATTGTATGTTTCAAAAAAATCTCAATTTTTACCATACAAGGTTCTCATCCTTTCATTCTCTCGAGAGGCAGGTCAAAATCTTATCTAAATCATAGTTTGTATAAACATGATAAATTTGCAGCCCTCATTTTTAAAATTTCAAAATTGATCACTTTGGTGACTCCTAGTGTCAGAAAGAGACACTGCACACCACTGCGTCGCATCCCCAGCGTGACCCCTGGTAAAAGTGACATATTGACAGGACCCATCTGTCAGTAAAGAGTTTATTATCATAATGATTTTAAAGAACCTGCAATAAAAAATAACACTCAGGGCCTTAAAGATGGAAAATATAATTTGGTTTTCCTTCATTATAGAGAAAGTCAGCAGTGCAGCTTGTGGGTCTCAGCAGGGTGTCTCACTGTAGAACACAATTTCTTTATGAAACTCAGTTTTAGCTAAATGATACTTTTAAGCCTTTCTCTGAAACATTCAGTGGATTGTACGCCATCTGGAGCGCGCCTGTATGTGTGTGTGTGTGTGCATCAACGAGCAGCTGTGCTAGTGGGAGGTGTGATGTTGGAGCAGCCCACTGACTCCCAGCTGTGTTTAAGATTTAAAATAAACACTATACCTGTAAAAATGAGGTGGTGAGAGTGGAAGAGAAAGAAAGAGATGACAGCGAATACAGATGGCACTTGTTTGTGAAAATCTTCATTAAAACCTGTGCTGTTTTTTAAAAAAAAGAAAAAAAAAAGAAGACAGTGGTGTGGGTGGGTGTGGGGAGGGTGGGGCAGGGGAGACAGATCAGCAGAAAGACACTTCACAGTGAGCGATAGACAGGCGGACTGATAAACAGACAGATAAAACTGTCAGCCCAGCACAAAAGCAGGCAGACAGGCTGACAGAGGGTATTAATGTGTATTTGATAGTTCATTGTTCTGTAGTTGTTTCCCCTCTCCACCCAGCTAAATGGTTATTGATTAATCAGCCTGATCTATTGCTCTTCCACAGTGCTGATCGGCTGCTTGTGTCTGGGAGATGGAGAGTTGTTATTGATCCTGCATGAATGACAAAAGACCACCAAGAATTATTAAAACACAACAGCTCTCTCTCTTGCTCCCTCTTCTTCTGCCAGTCTACCTCTCTCTCGCTCTCTCTGTGACTGCTTCCCTCTCCCTGCTGCTCCCGGTCTTAATGAATTTTATTGAGTGGAGCAGGAGAGTTCAGGCCGAGTCCATTTGTGCACTATTAGACTGTAAAAATCCTTTACTTTTTCTTTTGATGTCAGAGTTCTCATCTTCAGCCATTTTTGCCGCAGCCTTTTTGTGTCTCCCCACTTTAATAGTGTTTCGCTTTAATTCTGTTGGAGAATTGAAAATGGTTTGATTTTGCAAGCAAACTTGACCACAAACCAATTTGTCTGAGGAATAAATTTCAAGAGAACTCCTCTGACCATTTCTCACATGGGGGGGGGGGAATTCATTTGAAAGTTGTAGAAAAGATATGTCAATTGCTCCGTCGCACATTTGTCCATGGGAACAAAGTGAATATGTGGTAATTCAATGGCGTAATTACGCTTCCTGTGTATCTGACACTTAATGAATGTTTCATAGATGTTTCTAACAGTTGGTCAATAAACTCTTGAGGGATCTTTGGGAAAACTCACAACTCTAATTTTATCACTCCTAACGGACTATTGAGTGCAGAGGCACAG